TACTAAACATGATTATTCATTAACTATCTTTAAAAATGTCCCTAAAAAGCATTTGTTGATTTCTTTTTTTTAATCGTACAGCTTTCGCTAATCAATGATATCAGAATCTTAACTTATTTGAAATTTCTAATTAAAAATCTCATCCCATCATCGCATAGTACCATCATTAACTTTTATGAACGCAACAAAATAGCGTACCGGAAATATCACTCATATTATGATCTTCCGAATCGGCTATGCTAGGTTTTTCATCCATTTCGGCACCACTAATAAAATCATCCACATCCACTTTTGATGCTTCCATTTCCATTTCTTCATCCTGTTGTTCCATTTGTTCGTTCAAATTACTACTTGATTCGCTATAATTCATATCAAACGTAAACAAAAAAAAAATTAAATGAATTGTTATTAAATCAAACTTATTATTTCGGATAAGGATAGAATTTTTTTTAACTGGATAATAACTTGGTCTAAATCAAAAAATTTAGCACCAACTAGAGATCAACTGAGCCAATTTTCTCATGCAAGCTAATAAATTCGAAAGAAGCGTTTTTAAAAAAGATCAAAAATAACCGCAGGATGCAATTTTAAAATATTTTAAAAAGACCCAATGGAAACGAACAATGATGCTTCGCTGGGTACATCACGAGCTGGTTGTGGCATGCCAAATATATTATAGAGTGGAATAAGCGGATTTTCGCCATTTGGACCGATCAAATGGCCCAGTTGGTGTCGTAAACTATCGCTCTGATTGATAGCTTGATAGCTACATGCTGGACATTGCAATGATATGCTAAGCATAGCACCTGGATTCATTCCAGCCATATTTTTCAATCGAAGCAATAATTCCATTTCTTCCATCTGCAAACAGAACTATCCTTTTGCTTACTGTCTGTTCAAATTAATTAATTGCACAATTCTGTCTGTTAGTTCAATAGCGTCATTTAATTTTGCTTTTTCCAGCTGTTGATTTAATCTTAAAAATTTCATCCATACCACCTACCTCATTATTTTATTCAAAATTTCCGCCTGAATTTTATGCGAAAAATTTTCAAAAATGTCTTATAGAGAAAAGAGATTCAAAAAATAATTAACAGATCATATTGGATTATACAAACAATCATGCCTAAAATACTTATCATATAATATTGAAAAGTAAACGATAAAGAAGCAAGCACCTGATGTTGTTGACGGAAAAGCAGATGTGAAGCTATATTTAGTGAATTACTGGTGACAACTGGTGTCATACCCAATGCAGCACTTAACTCTTGTGCCATAGTTGATGTTGTTGGTAGTGGTTCCGGTGAGGAACCATCACCAGACTGTACAGCAAGAGATTCGCTAAGACGTCGCATCGCCGTATCATCATTTTCCGTACCTCCTTGCGTTGAACCTTAATAAATTAGTTTCATACATTATATGTTTCATTATTTAAAACTCCTAAATAATTTTTAAAAAAAAATCTCAGCAAATTAAAAAAAGATTTTAATAAATTAAATTCTATAGTGATATGTTCCATTGTTTTAAACTTGCAAATAATGGAATAAAAAAAAAACATGACAAAATTAGTTACCATTGCAAAGATTACTAGTGCCAGCGGTAGCACTAACAGCAATGCTTACAGCTGAATCGGTGACATCAGTAGCTCGATTATGATTGTACTTCCTCAAGTGTAATTTTAAGCTATGACAATATTTCGTAGCATAGGTACAATCACGACAACGAAATTGGTAAATATTTGTGTGTGATTTCATATGTGAATTAAGCATCGATTTGTTGACACACGAGTAAGCGCATTTCTTACAGTGGAATGGCTTAGATCCCATATGATTCCGTAAATGATATTCCTGGAATAAGATGAATTGCTCGTTTTCAGAATTCCGATACTAATTTTGCATATTGATAAAAAAAATTTTTGTTCAACCAAACCAAATTTTTTTTCTTTTTTGAATGGGAGGATAATGATTTCTTATTCTTCGGAATAATTCGGTTGCTGTTATTTTGTAAGCATACACATCTATGAAATATCTCATAAGCTATATCTGGTCCAAACTGAATATTTCTACTGGGTTTTAATTATTTGATTTAAGTTCACCATTTAAAAAAGTTGAATTAAGCAGTTAATCTTTGTCCTAACTTTGATTTACAGATATTTTTGCGCATTCAAAATACAAAGGAGAAAAGTACCAAGAAAAAAAGTGAACTGAAAAGCGATACCAAATGATGTTTGTATTCGGTGACAAAACCGCATCGTGTACAACCAAGTTGCTTTTCGACTGGTATATGAGTTCGGGCATGGGCCCATTGTTCTTCTTTGGAAGTACTGATATGACAACATTGCTTGCATTTGTAAGTTTTCGGTTTACTCGAGCACTGTCTTGGCTTATCACCGTTGACTGGACTGACTGATTGTTCGTCGCTATTTATCGATTTCATACTTTCTTGGAATGCTTGTGAACTAAGAAGACCCTGTGAAATCAACGCTGTTGCTAAATTTGCTGATGATAAATCTGGTAGCACGCTTGGATTTTCTGTAAATGCACGAATTTGATCCAATGCTGATGGCATCAATCCACTTATAGATTGTGCAGCACCGGAGAGCGATGATGATGAAATTACATCGCTGGATGGAGGAGTTCCCGAACCGGATGGCAAACTGAGACCACTGCCGGAATCACTTGGTACCGATGTGGCTGCACCACTGCTTGAATTGGATGAACAGCTAGCAGCAGCGGCTTGTGCTGCAGCTTGTGCAGCTGCTGCTAGATTAGCTGCTTCTAAGACGGAAGCCATTGAGGTAGAAAAATTGCTACCATCTACGGGCGTTGTTGTAATTCGTGCCACCGGTGTACTGGATGTTGAAGTACTGCTAGTTAATGCTTGCTCCACGTCAAGACCTGCAGCAAGTTGCTCCTCGACGGTATGCGAATCACGCATATGTTTCTTTAAACGTCCTTCCGTGCGTGACGTATAATCACACATCGTGCATTGATGATCACCATGGGTGTTCATATGAGAATTGTAGTGAAATTTGGAATTACATGAGAAGCCACAGATATTACAGACAAGCGGAAGTGAAGTGCCAGGCTGCTGCGTTTCCGCTGTGCTCACCGGACCTAAGCCGGGAGCACGGCAAAATGTTGATGAACCAGGCGCACTCGAAACGGATTCGGATCGTGGACTTGGTGTTGCAGATACCGTTTGCGGTACGAAACGATGGCATGGACTGAGGATGTTGACAATGGAACCTGAGGCTGTTGATGTTGAGGGTGTTGTGGACGGAGTTAATTTTTCGTTTAGAATACGTTCTTCAATACGCATTGCTGTAAATCGAGTTTGCTCAAAAGGTGTTCCCGTACGTGCTCCGTGTATTTCAGAAGAGTCCATATTATTCATCAGAAGTCTAAAATGCTTTTAGTAAAATTCAACTACATGCATAGTAATCTTCTCGAAAAATTTATATAAATATTAAAATTTTACTGAAAAATTTTAAAAAAAAGCTTAAAAATAATACGAAAATTTATACTTTAACGGTACGGTAATACCTGGTTTCACTATCATCAATTATTCCGCTTCCGTCATCGTCATCAGCTGCTATTGATTTTTTGTCCGTTTCATCGTCATCACTTTCTTTATGCTCAACATTTATTTCCACTTCGCCATCCACTGAAAAGTGAAATTACATTGCGAATGTTTATTTCGTTCCATTGACTATCAATAGTAAGACACTGATAAACACTGATAAAGTACACTTAAAAAATAAACGAAAGAATATTTCAAGATTCTGAATCAAGAACATTTTAAAAAATTGAAAGTTTTTGAGGATTCAAAACTCATTTATATATATTCTATCTTTTTAAAAAATTTTCTGAAAATCATAGAATTATTTCACCTTATTTGCAATCATAAATAAATATCACTCGTTTCACAGCACAAACAAAAAAAAACAAAATAAAACGAATTACAGTATATCTCGTTATAAATTGTATTAATTTGAATGAAATTTAAAATATACTACTGCCCGGTTATTCAGTGTTTCACTGACAACATGAAATTATCATCCGTCACAGCTTTACGAATCATGAAACCTTCTGTTTCATCCATTCTATTGATTGAACTAGCTAATAAAATCAACTGGAAAACTGAAATTCACCGAAATCTAAAATGGACTTCATTCTTGGTTGTTCATCGGTATTATCCTTTTTTTCAGCAAATTCATCATTGTTCACACGAATCACTGCACCCACAGTTGCATATGTCGAGATACCGATAATTTCGTTGCTGCTTCTTGTTGTTAACAATGGTTCTTCTTTTCCTTCTCCATCAGGTACTTTGCTAACCGGATAGGATTCACTTGCTTTATCAGTCTTACTACAATCATCAGTCATTTCGATATCACTGATGACAAGCTTTGATTCGGTGGTATCATCTTCTCTGTTATGATAATCCCTTTCCACAGATGTGATATGATTCCGCTGCAACGATGTCACAAACGAAGAAGTTGGCAATGATGATGATAACGATGATGATGGTGATGATGGTACAGTGAAACCTGATGTATCATCACAATCTCGAATTGCCATTGCAGTTGTAGTAGTAGCACGCGTTTCCGTATTTTGATCCAAGTAGTACTGTTGATGTTGTGGTTGCCGGAAAGCACTGCAACCATCGTCTGTATGTACCACAGGATGGGGTGATGGAAGAGTATGCGGTACTGTAGCAGTTTTGGAATCTGACGGTGCTTGCTGTTCACTGTGACACTTTAACCGTAAATCACCATTTTGTACAAGTTGCTGATAATCGGAATTCAGGAATGAAGTTTGCTGCAATTGTTGCTGCTGCTGCTGCTGTTGGAAATCTTGTTGAAGAGCTGCAATTTGTTGTTGTGCATGTGTTTCAGGTGTGAGGTTTCCAGTAATCGAATGTTTGGCTAAAATTATCGAAGGCTGATTTCGGTTTGTTTTACTGGCAAGCTGTTGTTGTTGTTGCTGCTGCGGCTGCAGTGATGCCGTTGTAGCACAACTTTGTTGCAACCAAAGTTGCGTTGCTACAGCTGCATTAGTGGTACCATTAACGGATGATACCTTATTGCTAGTCAGTTGTTGTTGCAATTTTTGGAGAAGTTGCTGCTTTCTGGTTTCCAGCAATTTCGCTTCTTCTACAGCGGCAGCAGTTATATAAATTTGTTCAGGTGTTACTACATGTGATATCGGACCGCTGTTAATAGTTGAACTCAGATGAGCTAACATATCACTCTGATGTTGTTGCTGTTGTAGTGGATCCTGTACATCTGAAGAATCTCCTCCATCTGAACTTAATAGCTCAGAAGATTTCGATGATATCAATCGAGTAGGTAGCAGTGAACTATCATTTGATGGCTGCTGTTGTTGTTGTTGTTGTTGTTGTTGGACGAAACTGTCATAAGGCGTGATGGACGATAGGCTTACGCCAGCCGTTCCGGTAGTATTCTTATCGTGCTGCATTGGACGAAATCCACGTGTATTATCGGTATAATTCTGAAAAAAAATTTGTTAAACAGGAAGACAACTTATCAAGCTGGATTCCTGAGTGGTGAAGACAAAAGGCAATAATGGTTTACAGCTTTGGAAAATCTCTCTTTCATAAAAAGATGCAAAGAGAAATCAAAAAAAAAAAACCATCCATTGATAAGGAAGCAAATGATACTACTTACAATTAATTTTATTCATTGAGTACATCAATTAACAATAATGACAAATTTTCAAAATAGTTGGAGAATTATATCATACTTGAAAAATAAATAGCTTTTAAATAAACGAGAAGAAAATTAGGAGAAAAATTTCTTTCCTCGTCTTTTTATCGCAATTATTTTTATGATTCCATGTATTGATTTAGATAAACTAAGTTTTGAAAAAAAATTCTTGATGTCTAGCGAAAAAAGCTAAAAAGAAAAAGAAACAAATTAAAAGAGGAAAAGAAAAGGTGAGAGGTAAGTTAATATTTTATAGTTAACAACAAAACATGAAAAAAATATAGTAACATCGTTATGTGTTTCGTTATCTTATAAGAATATATATATATATTCAATTATGTAAG